CCGCCTCTGAGCCTGCAGAAAGCGCTGCAGCAGTGCGAACTGGTCCAAAACATGATCGACATCAGCATCTCCAACCTGGAGGGGCTGCGCACCAAATGCGCCACGTCCAACGACCTCACTCAGAAGGAGATCCGCACCTTGGAGGTAGGGGGAGAGGAAAGGTGCGCCTTCAGGCCCCCGACGGTCGCGCCGGGTCCGGGGAATAGATGTGTGTGAACTGAAGGAAAGGCGGAGAGCGCCATGGAGGCGGTGTGTCTTGCAGGTGCCCGAACGTGGCGCTCGCTTTCTTTTGATGGGGGCTTGGGGGGGGGGCAACGAGTCCCCCTTCCTGGACCTCTATAAGGGCGATTTCCCTCTCCCTCCCGGGCTTTCTCTTGTCCACCGGACGTGGGCAGAATATTTGCTCCTCCTCTATAATGTCTCTCCCGCCCCCCTCCCCATTACAAGTAGAGGAGGCCAAATGCAGAAAAGCTCTCCTTTCTCCCCCCTCCCCCCTCCGGTGATGGTAATAACTAAAGGCCCTCTTTTGCATGGAGAGTTAAAAATAAACTCGTGTCTGTGGAGTGGGGGTGGGTTGGGAGAGGGAGGGGGGGAAGCAGAAAAGTCTCATTGAGCAGTTAATTGGATGGGGTGGGTTGACAGTAATAATGAGAGCCCTGTTGGGAACAGAGGAGGGGAGGGGGCTTTGCCACACGTGGTGGCAATGGAGGGACAGAAGAAGGGACCAGATCCGTGTGTGTGCAGCAGGCATGAGGCAGTATTTTGGTCTCTGGCGCTTGCAGACAAGGCTTGTCTATGTCTCTGTGAGTCCATGCAATGGTGCGTGTGTCCAGTTTTATAGGAAAGCTCTACTTTTATCTGGCAGCGGCTGGATTGGGGAGTTTCAACTCAAAGCTGACTTGAGACTGACCCTCGAAATCAAGTCAGTGATTCACACACCCGGGCTGTCTACCCCCATTCTTTCTAGTCTTTATGGAAAAGCTGTTCAGGAGGGAAAACCCAGACAGTCACCCAATGTCTCTGGAGTGGGACTGCTAGGAGACCTCCATTCGGAAGCTGGGGGGTCCCTTGTCTGTTGAATCTAAATGCATCACCCTTTATTTCCCTTCAGGCCAGGTGGGTTGACTGTGCGCAGAACCCCTTATCTTTTTACTCTTCCTCTGGACTTGTAATGGTTGTGTAACTCTTGAGCACCACACCCCAAAATTCCCCTCCTTTTCTCCCACCTGGAATTCTCTGCTCCGTGTTGAAAGTGCCTGTTTTTTGAGGAGGGGATCGTTTCACCTTTCCCCCAGGGTCTGGAGGTGTGTGCAGCTGCCCGGCAGCTGAGGAAACAGCAACAGTAGAAGCCACACTTAATTTTTTTCAATTTGTTTTAATTTCCATTTTAATTTTATTACTGTCACAGCAAACCGTATCTTATTTATTTACTCAATGTATATGGCTACCCAAATTGCAAGAGCGCGTCTGGGGGACTTAATATTTGAAGAAACATGAAAACAGTGAATTAAAATACAATATAATATAACATCAGAACATAAACATGGTAATACAGTAACAGAAATAATAGCAGAAGCAACTGAGGAGAAGCAAAATGCCTCTCATTCAAGGTTCTTACATTCTGTATGGGCTCACCCCAGGCTCTGGCCCAATGTTTGGGGGAAAAGCCAGGTCTTTAGAGTCTTGCGGAAGGCAGAAGGATCCCTTTCTTATAATGTCTTTAATCCTTTTTACCCTTTTGTTTTCTGAAGAATTACAACTTAGTAACAACTTTTGGAGGCCTCTGAAGGGCTTCATCCAAGGTGTTGGGTCCAACATGCTACTTGGGGTCTGAGTTTGTGTGCCTCTGTTGCATTTCCTGGGATATTGGGAAGTGAGAGCAACGAAGAGAAGTAGGCTGTACGTCTCTAAGTGTCAAGCGTGGCTTCCATTGCAAAGAATAAACCCTTAATAAGCCCTTGATGATTCTGGGTTTTGATGCCTAACCAGCCCTTACATTTTTCCAAGCCTTTTGGGGTTATGTCATTGAGCTTTGAGGATATGAGAATTGCATAGAAAGGGCTGTTATGTCACATAGGCTTTTCCACTTGCCATAGCTCATGCTTGACAAAATTCCCCCCTAGGAAATTCCCCTTCCTTTGTGGAACTCCTAAAGCTGCATGAATACACCTGCATGTGACTGGAAGAGCACACAAGCAAAAGTGTAGAGAGGCATGTATCCCTGTGCATTTCACCTGCTGGGGGATTTTCTCTTGCACAAGCTGAGTTCTTTGTACTCTGCAAGCTTATGGCAATATGGGTGTGCTAGTCTGCTGTGTCCCAAGTCCATAGTATCTCCTGTGGCTTGATTCTAGTAAAGATGACTATGACGCTGAGTAGCTTTTAAAAAGTAGCAAGAAGTCTTGATGACATGGTGGAAGTTTCGATTTCAGAGTAGTTTATTTTAAAGGATTGGCTGCAATAGCAATGGAATATTTTGGCTGCTGTGGGAAACAAAGATAGAATAGTTTGAGCCTTGGCAGAGTTGTCTGTGTGAACTTAAACTAGCCTTTCCTTATCTTATTAAATATTTATAATTCACTTAGAGCATATCAGTGTTGGTGGCAAAGCTGGCTCGCAAATCAAAGAACAGTACAGAATAATATCTGCATATTATCACACTTACAGTATATGCCATAGAATTTAAGATGTTGATAAAGTTCCCAGCATTCTCCTAGCCGAGCATTAATGAGATCTGGACCAATTTAGTAGGGTGTGTGTGGATCGGCTCCAGGCCAGAACAAATCATTGATTCTACCTGAAAAGTAATTTTGATCAAATTTGGAAAGTCAGTTTGATTCAGTTTCCCAAATTCATGGGAGAAAGCATCTTTAGTTTGGAAAACTGATTTGTAAATTTGATTACATCGTTATTGAATCAAACATCTGAACTAAAGCCTTGCATAGTGCTATAGCTGACCTTCAGCAAAGTGTCTATATCCAGTGATTTTTTTCAGAGAAAGTAGAACTTGATGATCTGTTGCTTCGTGGCAACTGGACCAGAAACAACAACAACAACCCTCCACTTTAGAGTTGTTTCACACAGGGCAACAAATCCCAATTGCCTGTCATGTGTGTGTTTGACAAAGCATGTCAAGCCCATACTTGGTGTCCTCTGTTCAGTTTAACTGATATATTAGTTTCAAAGTTCTTCCTTGGGTTTATGTATGGTGTTTTCACACCCATCTTTAAAACATTCCTGACATACACTTGTCCATTTGTAATGCCTGCAGCAGATGTTAGACAGAGGTGGAGTGTTGAAAATTGTTTGCCTATGGATATTATTTAGAAGGTGACCATTGCTTTGGAGAAGCCTGAATGAAAATTGCAGAGCATTCTTACACAACTTTTTAAAACAAACTGTGGGAAAGAAGGGCTATTAAGAAGTGTCTTTGAGTAGATATCAACTACATATGATCACAAGTAAGGAACTGTAATTTAGGGGAAGGAACCTGTTTTGTGTGTAGGAGGAATCTAGTTTGATCCCTGGCATCTCCAGCCATAAGGATCGGATTTCAGATGATGAAGAGTAACTCGCTGTTTTGGAGACTGAAAAGATTCTGACAGTCAGAATAAACAGTATTGGCCTCATGAGCCTTCTCTGCTTTGCCAAGGTGTGTGCAAAGTTTCTACTTTTTTATTCTATTTCTCTCTTCCCAGACCCATTTGCATCTATCATCATTGTTTTCATCAGTGCTGAGCATATCACATGCAAATGAGTGCAAAGTAAAGTTCTCTCATTTGGGTGACGTGTTTCTTCTTTTTCTTGGAGCTATGTCAACATTCACCCCATTTGCTCTGCCTTCCTGTTTATTTCATTGAGTCCTGGCCCCAATTCTATGCTGGAGTTCAAAAATGAAAGTGAGATCAGATAGCAGTTGAACCCAGGTGGCACTGGATATCCCTTATAAGTATTCATTAGTCTAAGGAAAGTTTCAATAACTATATTGGGCTCTCATTTTCCACCATACTCAGCTTATCATAGCCATAGATCATTGTGATAACATGGTGGGGGAGAGAGAAATAGAATAAAAATGTGCAAAGTAGAGAGTGCTGGCACTGGTGATGCCAATATAATTAATTGTCAGAATCTCTCCAGCTTCCAGCAGAGCAAATTTCTCTCCATCATCTGAAATATGATCCTTACTCTTGAATAAGACAGTTGGAATAAACCATTAAGCAACAGCATGGCCAAACGGTTGTACACACGTGATAGGATTAGCAGGCAAGTATTTGTCTGGTTCCGTATTATTAAAGGTTTTGTCTAAGGTAACGCAGTCCCAGTTTAGTATGTTTTTGGGAAAATAATCCTGGAGCTTCTAGTGCTATGTGTTGTTCTAATATTTGGTTTCTTTAGTATGTGGAAGCAGAAGTCGAGCACACACCCCTGGCTGAGTCCACTGAAAAACTTTTGATTAAGGCCTTTTTTGAGCATTCTAATTACTCACCCAGTTAAAATCCAGAAGGGAGAATCAGATAAACATGCTAACAGTAAGTACATCGCTTTCGTTGTTCTTTCAGGTGAGTCATAATAGTATGGCTACCATATCATTGTTGCAAACTGAATGACCACTGTATGACAACAATGGGAAATACAGAATTCTAGCTTTGCTGCTATCTATTTATTCTCCAGGGTGTGCAGCTCAGGAATGATGGTCTTATCCAGTTGGAAGCTTGTTCTACTCAAAGTAGCCTTCAGTGGCCGCTGGAGAACCATACAAGGTCACGATTCTTCAGACGATGGGGGTTCCCAGGCATGCAGAACCATCCATGTATAGGATTGTAATTGTCTCTGTGGTTTCATTTCAACAGACAGTGCAATATCATTTTATGTTCCTGAACGTTCATTACACTAGAACAGAGGTCCACAATGTTTTCACACGTGACTTTTTTGAGTTGTGCCTTGGGCTGTGCTTTAGGAAGCGACAGGTGGGCCAGAAAAAAAACAAGGTGTTATTTTATGTATATTTAAGCTGAACTAAAATTATGTATAGATGGTTACTGTCTAATTGTAAATCTGATCATGAAACCTTTCAGACTGATCATGTCTGAGACTTCTGTGGCTGCATCAAAAGCTTCCAGAGCCTCAGGATAAAACATAAGATC